ATGGGGAATTCTGGGAGTTGAAGTCCACCCATCTTAAAGTTCCCAAGGTTGAGAAACACTGAGTTAATAAATATAGCTGTAGTTGCTGTTATTCGAGGTTGCAAAATGTCAGAGTTCCCAAGCTTTGCAGGTAAACCAACACCCTCCTTCGGTCTTCAACCGGGACCTCGAATTCACCCTCTCCCCGCCACCTCGCCTGGACGCTGAAGCCTCGTTGGAAAAGCCGACATGGACCCTCAGCACCGCGTTTAAACCCACCCACCTCCGAAACAGCGGAGACGTCCCTGCAGGTTTGAAGGCTTTGGCTCTCGCAGGCGCTTCTGGCTGAGAGTCCGCGGGGGCTCCGTCACTGGCCCTGCCCGGGGGGGCTTTCCCCGCCTTGTCCTGGAAAAGAGGCGCAGCAACTCACCACACCCGCTGGTCTGGTCTCTGCGGGGCGGGCTGCGTCCACCCAGAGCCCCTTGGAGGGGGGAAGAGGGCCCTGCTCCTACCTGCGGGCCAAAGGCTGCCCGATTGAGGGGGCTCCTGCCTTGCATCTGCCCAGCTGGACTTGGCCCTGGGCCACTCATCCTACTCCAGAACGGCTTCCTGGTCCATGGCGGCTTCCTGAATCCTCTGGGGAATCGGCTAGACCCTAAAGGAACGCCACCTTTTGATTTGGGTCCCTGCGGTCAATACCAATTCTCTGCCGCCAGCCCGGAGTTGTATTAATCCACAGGGCTTGGCCCCTGACCCCTCATCCCTCCCCTTTGGCAGAAATTGCTCCAGGCCCCCCAGGCTTTGTCCTCTTTTTAACACGAGGGGCTTCCATCTGCAGGCCAGTTTTTCAAATGAGATGGTTTTTCCCAATCGGAGACCTTCTAAGGGCATTAATATTTATTTATTTATTTATGAAATTTGTATGCCGCCTGTCTCCCCCAATGGGTGTCTCTAGGTGGCTCACAGTTAAAACCAAAAAGCCATGAACAATTAAAAGTAATACCTTATAGATAATTAAAATTAATTAATCAATTAAGAGTCAGACTGTAAAACAAACCCTGTACATAAATACTAAAACATTCAAGATGACGGGGGAGGGGGGGCAAAATCAATTACTCCACAAGCCGCTTCCAGTGATGCAAGCCCCCATCAGGCCCCCAGGCCTTCTGGCATGGCCAGGATTTCACGCTTTTCCTGAAGGCCGTGGGATTTTTATGAGATTTTTAAAATATTTACTTATATTATTTTCTATGATTTATAATTATATAATAATTTATAACAAATAATAATTTATATTATTTTATATGGTATAATATAATTTATATATATAAATTAAATTATATATAATTTATACCATTTTTATGATATTAATATGAGCAAAGCCAACCAGAGCGTCACTGAATCCAGTCTTCACATCCGCCAAGGGGGCCCCTTAAGCGAGCCTGGGCACAGTGGCATGCTCCTGGGGTGCTACCCAACACCCGTTCGGCTCCAGAGGGGGACACCCATTGCCAGCGATTCAGTAGGAGGTTTTCTGTTTTGCTAAAGCAAGGCGACCTGGACTGACATGAGGGCACCAGATTGGGGAGCCCCCCCGCCCCGCTCTCCGAAGGGCCCTCTTGGCTGGCCCTCTCCCTCGCCAGTCCCTTTGGCCCACCTGGCAGGGCTGGTGGGACCCAGCTCTGGAACCGCGGCCGCCCGCTCCTGGAGGCAGGGGGTCTGCTCTTCAGCGGCCGCCTCCACGGGTTGCCCCTCTTCGGCTGGGCTCGCCCCTTCTGGTTCCGCCTGATGATGTCATCTGCAGAGGGCACAGACGCAGCCCTTGCAGCCCTGGCAGCCCTGGCAGCCCGGCGCCGCGCTCTCCAGGGCAGGTCAAGGCAGCCCAGCCAACAGCCGGGCAAACGCCAGCCCGAGGGCG